GCCTGGCGCAATATGGTTCATGGGGTCACGAAGAGTCGGACACGATTAACGACTGAACAACCACCACAATAAACAGCTATTCTTAGGAGGGCTAGTGCAACTCTATGCACTGCACTCCATCAGCGGGTAATGGGCAGCCCATGGTTTCTCTGCAACCTGCACTCTCTTTCTGGCTGTTCAGATGATCAGCCATGAGATAGGCAGTGGTGATTAGACAGATATTAGAGCTACCAATAAATGGGAAGGGTTGTTATAAGGGAGAGATTTTCACTCTTCCCCACTGCCAGCCTTTCTAAGCAAAATTGCCCTCTGTTAAATGGCAATCTAGAGAAGAATCACCAGGGGGAGAACAATGATTCCTTTTTCTTCCAGCAGCTCTTACTCCCTGCTAATAAGAGCAAGGACACAACACGCTGAAGCAGGACTACAGGGGAGGTGATCCTACTACCCAGTAATTATGCTTGAACATGGTCAAAGAAAAATTCTATGGTAGTGGAATTTCCTTGATTATTAGTTTTGCCATCTGGAGTCGCTTGGAATAAAGCTCTGCAGAAAACTTTGGGAAAAAATGGAGGTATGTAATTTTACTGCAAGCCCCAACTGTGGTCAGAGACTAAGGAAGATCAAATCAAGCCATCTAGAATCCCTGGACCATCTGGAGACGGTCATCACAGGGTAATCCACACAGAATATAACTCCTTCCCTCCTTGATTGTGTGAATGCTCCTTGGACTTTAAAAGCAAGTTCAAAGCAAAAAGTTACTAATGATGATGATTTTTTTCCCAAAGTGATAATGAAAGTTGAAAGCTTGAAGTTTTTTTAAAGGAGAGAAGGGCAGGAAAAGAAACCCTGGCTTCGCTTTTTGATGCCCGAGACAGCCTTAGGCAAACTTATTGTTAATATCTTATGCCCCCTAGTGGATTGAGAATAAGTTCTGGAAATTTAGCAAATATTGATGACCTCCAGCTATATAGTACTCATATTTCTATGACATGTCTCTGTATCTTTCATAATGGTTTTGTTATTATTGTGAGAGTTACTCCATCCCTGAATAAATTACACACAAAAATCCTATTGATCACAATACTCACAGCAATACACCAGTCCTCATCAGTGGGATTAAGCCTTCTACAGTTAACCCTGAAGAACCCTTGAATAAAATAATTTTGTAGCTTGTGATACCGTCTAAGTACAGAATCTGGAATTTGGAACAAGATGCCAAGTTGGGGTAGGATGGTGGTGAACTTGCCCCTGTAAGATTGAGTTTTGTTTTGTATGGTTCTTCTTTCTCCTGGACACACTTATCTTTGTTCTTTCATTCTATTGTTCTAGTTATTGATAGTATAAAGTGCCCAGAGTTATTGGGAGTTGGGCTTTTTAAAAAAACCGATATAAATAAATAAATAAATAAATAAATAAATAAATGTTGCTAAACTTATTTTAAAATATTCTCTTAATGCTTATCATGGCACATTGAAACAAAAAGTAAATGCTAGCCACTGTGTACAAACCTGCACTATGCGTTGGCTCTACCTTCTCAAGAAAGCATCATTGTAGAGATGAACTTGACAGAAATAGGCCAGATCTGTTACCAAAGTGATAAGGAGACAGGCCAAAGCAAGCCACAACTGCCTTGTCTTACGTCCAAAACAAACAACTAAGAAGTATGCGTAAGCAGCCCAGATAGACACCTCCGTAATTCCCAAAGGTATAAGGGGAGGAGGCGCAGCACAATCAAACTTGCAAAATCCTGTTATCGTAGCCACTGTCAATAAAAGTAGTCTTAGCTTTCCTCTGGAGTTGATTCTTGGTCTGGTCTATCTGGTGGGGCTAACATCAATCTGAAGTCTGATTGCACTGTGCCTCCTCTTCACTTTTGGTAACAGATCTGGCCTATGTCTGTCAAGGTTATCTTCCTTACTCTCTACAATAATCTACTTCTATATAATATTTTATATACTTAAATAAATAAATAAGGCATTAAGAAAGCTGAAAAAAAAAGACGAAGGATTTGACAAGTACTCTTTGCCAACCTGCCAACGGCATGCATCTTTCCCTTTCAGTATTCTATGAATTACAGAAAACGGGGAGCAGTAAAAGGGTGTGCTTCTTTCGACTTTGTAGTAGGCAAGCACACTCCTATTTTGGTCCTTCTGAAAAAGCCTCTTCAGATTGAACCAAGTCTCTCCCTCCAAGTCTTCTGGCCCCAGAAGAACGGACTCTTCTTTCATTTCTGGAGAGGGCATAGAGCAGCATAAGTCTCTTGCAATTCATCTCTTTCCCTTAGAGAGAGGATATGAGATTTGTGCTACTACTTAGTCTTTTCTTCAACCACTTGAAAGATGGAGCCACAAACTCAGGAGAGAAAAGAACTCTGAATAATGGCTAGTTAATCAGCTAAGCCAAAAGACATGAACTCTTTGGAAAACAAATGTTAATTTACAAAATGACCTGCTAATTACTAGCAATTTAGATAAATGTCATCTTCCTCCATTATTGATCCTGGTATCAGTTTATTCTGTCAGAACCTCACACAGGATCAAGACTGCAGCAAAGATAGTGCACAATAGTAAATCGCATTCTTTAATACCCAAATAAGTAGATGTTCAAGGACTTGCTTTCCTTACTGGAACAAACATCTCCTCCCACTACTTACTCCAACATGGGGTTGGAGGCAACATGAGGCTACCAGCAGCTACAAGAGCTCCTCCAGAATTGGGGGGAGATTGGAGCAACCCTTTAATGCTTATGCCTTACCCCTCCAAATATCCCATCTTCCAAAATAAGGTCAAAATATTTGGCCTTGCTCATCAGTGGTACCTCTTTTTATGGTCCTTGCAGTTCAACAGTAGAAAGTCCCCAGTGAAAACTTCCAGCCCTTGACTACGAGGAGGAGGAGGAGGAGGAGGAGGAGGACTCCACTGCAGTGAACACTGTCAAATTATTATCAGGGTGCCAACTAATGAGCACATTTGTTCTTTACTGTATTTATAACTTAAAAATACAGCTGCTAGACAAGGGTGGATGCACTGTATTCACAAGAATCAGGTGTTCAGGTTTTAGCAAGAAGCCGCAGGCTTGGCTAACCCCAAGGGTTAACCAGCAGAACTTAATTGCAATGCTATGCAATGTGCCGCAAAAAGGAAAAATACCTGACATTATATATTATTATATAATAAAGGCCAGATGTTCCATCCTGTTCTTACAGAAACATATATCAGGTCTTATCTGGCACATTGCACAGAGCAAACCTGATAGTAGAAAGTGAATCACCGTGGTCATAAAGCAAATCAAGTAGTCATTAAGCAAATCACGTGGTCTTTAAGCAAATCCAGCCCCCAATGGACATCTTTGTCGGGATTCACTTAACGACTGTTATAAAAAATTTCTTTCTACTTTCCAGTTTCTCTGAATCTTTCTTAAAATTACATATCCAAAACTGGATAGACTACTTGTTCGCCTCATGTTCAGCTTGGGAACATGTTCAGCTTAGTTTTATGTAGTAGAAGATACAGAACTTGTGAATAGGACTTGTAAGATCCCCACAAGAATGCTCTTACTTTCTTTTCTTAAATGAAGAGGTCACATTTGTTTCTATTAAGTTTCATTCTTTGATTGTCAGCCTATTTCTCTATTTATCAAGACCATTTCAAATTTTAATTTTTTTTAGAAAGAGGTGGGCAACCTACATTGGGCCCTTGAATCCTCCTTGTGTAGACATATACTTAAAATTTCAAGACTCGTTCAAAGCATTTCAAAAAGATAAGGATTTGATGGGAAATGAACATAACTCCTTGCTAAACTACATTTTTCATGTTTGGATAGTTAGTAAATTATATTCTGAGCCTATCCAAAAGAAGAAAGTAAAGATATTATTGGACTACATGAGGAAGGGAAAAATGTCAGGATCAAACAGTTTTCTTACAGATTGGTATAAAGCATATAGAAATATGCTGGCTGGGAAATTCTAAGAGTTGAAGTCCACACATCTTAAAATGGCTAAGGTTGAGAAACACCGTACTAACTTCTCATAATGAAGCTTATATTTCTGCAGTTCCTAAGTCAGACAAAGATCATGTGTGCTAATTATGGGTCTATTTCATAAATGAATATTGAAACCAAATCATTAGTTAGGATTTTAGCTAATGGACTTGAGATGGTACTAGTAAATTTCATCCAGGTCAAGCATGATTTGTCATGGATAAGGAGTGACAATGTGACACCATTAGTAAATAATGCTAATGTAGATCCAGCTGTAATTATAGTAAAATGTCAACTCTATGGACCAAAAGAAGGTGAGGGATATCCGTTAAAGTCAAATTTATAAACTACTAAAACTCTTGTGTCTGTTTGTAACCTTCAACTGGGCAAAATGGTACGTCATAGGCCAACAATTTTTGAACCAAGATACCTCAAATGGACTAACTTACAGAATGTGTCCAAAATCTGGGACCCATGACTCCTGTGGAATTGAAATTTGGCAAATTTTATAAAACATATTATGACATAAAAATGATCATAACATATTTTATGACATAATACAAAATGTCATAAAACATTTCCTGCGGTCAACTCCTGATGTTTGACTGTGCTATACAGTTCAATATGAATGACAGGGGCTATTTTCAAGGCAAATACATCTCTGAATATGTCCCTGAATTTTTAAGAACTTTTCCAGTTTCCAACATTAGAAGCTCTGCCATTGTAGAAGGCATTAAGCAATTTGGTAAGGAAATATCTCTGAAATGATGACCCAACAGGTCATGGGTTGTCTAGTGTCCCTAAAATCCTAATGTACGTAAGTGATTGAACTGATATCATTTGAGGCCGATTTACATCATTTGGCTAATTCTGGAATTGTAATTTACACCAGTTGTGAAACATTACATCATCTGCGCCATAAATTAATGCAGATTATGTCAATTATTTATGTCATGTAAATAATTGCATAATTAAGTGTGTGATGTAAATTATAGGAATTGTCCAGACTGCTTTGATTTTGCCCATTATTTAGGGCTAAGTTTAAATTTCTGACATTGCTTCCAATAAATGGAGATCCTTAAAACTGAGATTTTACTCTCTTTGGTTGAATGCAGAGAAAGACACTGATAAGCTCTACCTATTTTTTATTTTTCAAAATTGATCACAATTCTTTATGCCTTTTCAAAAACACTAGTGCAAATTAATGGAATTTTCTCTGAGCTCTTTCTGTTGGAGCAGATTTGTGTGTGTGTGTCAGTGCTGACTCCTGGTACTGCCTGGACAAGTCCCTACAGTTTTCTTGGCAAGATTTTTTGGAAGTGGTTTGCCATTGCCTCCTTCCTAGGGCTGAAATAAAGTGACTGGCCCAAGGTCACCTAGCTGGCTTTGTGCCTAAGGTGGGACTGGAACTCACAGGCTTCTGGTTTTTAGTCTGGGGCCTTAACCACTGCACCATTGTTTAATGTAAGTTTGGAATCCAGTGCATGCAATAGGCAGAGCACTGTGGGTGATGGTTTGCTACACAGAAGAAGTATAAGATGGTTCTGTTTTTATATTTGATATTTGAGTGGCTGCTTTTGGAAGCTACGAAGTTGTCAAAACCTGTTTTCTTTGGTAAGTTTTAATGGCCTCTAGACATAAAACCCGTACCTTGGGGAGAAAATACCTAGATACATATCTCAGATGATTAATATGAATTTTAGAAATAGCACAGATTTGGACAGATAGATAGGCCTCACTTAAACTGAGTAGCTGGGGAAATACAGCAATTTAAACTGAGTGTCTTACCACCTTTCATTCATACTCAAAGTGGAATATATTTGTAAATTGCATTTTCAGAAATGTAATGCACATTTTGGAAGCTTATCTAGGGAACCTCTGTTCTTTTTTACTCAGGAAGTAAAATGCTGTTCAATCACCATTTACAGGAGGAGTTTTTAGTTTTCCGGATTTATGTTTGTTTCATGTACTTAGAAACCTATCTCATGCACTGTTTGCCACTGGTATGTCTGATATTTCAGAGGCTGAAGGGTGTCCCAGTCTAATTGCTTTCAAAAATGCAGAATTTTGCCTTCTCCTGCATTAGATTCTGTTCAGGAATCACATGCAACAATCTGTCATCTCCAATGTGATCCTTACAGTCATGCTAAATTTACTTTAGGGGGGAATCCATGTGTAAAAATAGCAAAACAATACTTTTCTGGAGAATTTGGGGGTTGCATGTGGAATGTATTTGTTCATTTAATAGGATTAGATGATGATGATGATGATGATGATGATGATGATGATGATGATGATGATGTTAGAGTATAAGTATCACTTCCAAAAGCGCTGAACAATATCTTCAGTTAAGATACTTTTTGATATGGGCCACCGTTCCTAATTGATTCATTCCATCCAACTAGAATCAGGCACTGAATACAGTCTTTATTAAATAAAAAATCTATAATAACTCTTTATCAGCAGAATATATTAAATTAGATGTTCAAGGGTAAAATGAAGAGTAGGAATAAGGAATTAGAGAATCCAATTCATTAATATCATTGGAAGACAATTTTGGCATCTCTAGGTCATATTTTTATAGATTTAAGAAAGATTACAATTAATTCAACCAAAATGTTGTTTCATGGCTAGGGAACACCAATGCACGATCTTTTCAGAAAGAAAATTATAGGCTCAGCTAATTGCTGGAAATACGGAGCTTAGTTATTTCAACTAGTTAATTTTATTGTGACCAATGCATTGATTTTTGAAGATACTTATGTTCTTTTGAATTACATACCGATGGTTTGAAATTGTACAGAAGGGCAACAGAAATGGACTTTCCATGTTCTTTTGATTGCAAAAACAATCATGTTTACAGGGCTGGAAAGATACCCGTTCTCTATCACTTATACAATGGTTTTCCTCCCAAATCCCACCTTCTCTCTACGTCTATATTTGAACTAGCATTTTTATGCCAGGAGGACTATTTAGAAGTCCGGCTGCATATTATTAACTTTGTTGGCATATAATGACCTAAGATGTGAGCCAGTCTGGTGTAGTGACTGTGAGTTCTAGTCCCGCCTTAGCAACTAAACTAGCTGGGTGACCTTGGGCTGGTCCCTCTTTCTCAGCCCTAGGAAGGAGGCCAGGGCAAATCACTTCTGAAATCTTGCCAAGAAAACTGCAGGGACTTGTCCAAGCAGTTGCCAGGAGTCAACACTGACTCGAAGGCATCAAAACAAAACAAAACAAAACACAACAAAACACAACACAACACCTAAGATAGGTACATCACCTTCCCTGTTACAGATCTATGCAACTACCGAGACCAAGAATCTATTCCTTGTCAAAATATGCATACACCACCTTCCTGGACTAAAATGGTTCACAAAATGAATTTAAGGACATAAACAGAATTAGTTTCAACTTTGTTTAAACTGAATTAGTTTGAGGAGGATACATTTCAGTGCTCTTTCTCCCAAGAACCCGAGCATATAAAATGCGAGAGCATCACTTGTCATAAACATTTTTGGAACTTGTTCACATCGAGGCAGGAAAACGTGTTCAATATTTTGAACATATTTACTTGAGAATCTTTCCAGACGTTGGTTGCTCTTGGCCCCAGTAGTAGAGATCAATCCCAAAAGGCACAAGAGGTGCTTTAGCTTTGTCTTCTTCACGTTTACTGTTGGGCGCCTTTGATGTTGTTGGTTCACAATCCCTACACGTGCATGAAAAATGGTAAGAAATTAGAGGATTGCCAGTGCCATTTTACTATCAAAAACTACAGTATTTCAACTTGCACTCAAGTTTGCATGGCGCAGCTTGTTTTTGAAGGAGACCTGATTTACTGTACATTCACAACAAAACTCTGTTTTGGATGCTTGGAAAGAAAAGCAGTCCAAACAAGAACTAAGAAGTGGACTAAATTTTGCAGCCCTTTTGTCTTTAACAAGTATAATTATAATGACTGTTCACACTCTCCTCCAGTGGGTAGATCATTAACTGAATCAGCTTGCCTGGGGTGACAAGAGGTACAGACAGTCATTGCTTACCAACTGCCTCATTTAGCAACTGTTCAAAGTTACAACAGTGTAAAAAAAACCCCATTTTGCAACCAGTCCTCGCATTTATGACTGTTGCAGCATCCTGTGGTCATGTGATTGCCTTTTGTGTGCTTCCCAACCAGCTTTCGGCAAGCAGCGTTAATGGAGAACACAGAAGTAAAATCACAAGTTGCAGTCACATGATGTTTCACTTAACGACTGTGACACTTAGTGATGGAGTTGCTGGTCCCAATTGTGGTTGCTAAGCGAGTATCACCTGTACTGCAATTCATATCCAACCAGAAAGGTAAGTGAAAATCTTTACCATACTAACTGACTTAAAACAATATGTATCTCTGATAACAACAGAAAAAGTATCATGGAGAAAGGTTTGCTGTGTGTGCATGTATGCACACTCCCTTATTTGAGTTTGGCGCTCCGTACATGTGTTTGAAATTGCAATGCACCTTGTCATCTGCAAAATCTATTTTGTGCTGTCTGGGGTGAATGCATTATTTGATGTTGAATCTTTAAGTCCAATGCTTAAGGAGTTTCTTGTCCTTTCTGATCAGGCGGGCTCCCCTAGCAGTCATTTTGTCATGGTAGGATTTCCATATCATCTTGTGCGACCACAAAGGTTGGATACCTACTTTACTAACTGTGACAGCACCCCATGATTTATTCCTTTGTTTTTGGCACAGTACCCCTACCAAGGTCTTCCATGTCAACAGCAGGTGTAATGTTCTGCACCTTTTGTCATTTTTCTCTTCTATACAGAGGAAGAATAAAAGTTCCACTGAAGAAAAGCACACAGTTTTAATGTCTCTAAATCTGAAATAAGTTGAACTGAAGTAATTAAAATTAATGACTTCCCTATCGCTAACCCCAAATCTACTTTGTAATTGCTCACAAACTTTCCTCTTCTTTGAAAGATCCTTTTGTTTTTCCACTTTAATCTCAGGAGGGAGAACATGAGAAACCCTTTCAAAAGTGGTCATATTTTGGAGCTTATTCTGCTGCTGAAGAATTAAAGGGCTCTATTGCTCATACTTTCATTTTCTGCTCCATCTTTTCCTGTCATCTAAAACCCTTCCTGGCTGTTCACTCTTCTTATTCCGGAAAGGCCCAATGAGAGTAGTTCCCTCAGGACGTTTTCCAATGGAATTTAATTGAAATGTGGGAAGCCAGGGAGGCTGCAGACCATTGGGGAGTTGACTGTACACTGCATGAAAGAAACCTGAATGCAAATACTCCACATTATGAAGGCAAGATTTAGAAAAATGTACTCAGAAAATAAAAAGACTTCATATATTTAATTCTTGCAGCATATTGTTCAATTTTCATCAATCAAATGCTTCTGATTTTTAATTTCAACAATGGAAACTAGGAGAACATATTTGGGGTTCCTAAATCCTATGAAAAGTTGTAGAAATAGCTTTCTTCAAAATCCTGACCGCTTGCTGCACTTCCATTCTGAGTGTTGTTGATGGCTTCTAAGAACAGGAAAACCTCAAAATGTTCGCAACTCTCCGATTTAAAGACATTGTCTCTACAACAGTGAAATAAGAAAGCCAATCTTACACAATTATTAGGACCCAGCATGACTCCATGCTATTGCTTTGGATCCAAAGTGGATAAAATTTCTAAGATATCTCTCCAAAATCTATTATCTACCTCTCATCTGTAGTTGGCAATCTAGACAGTTTCTCTCGGAGAATTTTCCATGTTGCCGCAGCACAGGTCGGGTCCAGCTCTTCTTCATTTCTTACAGATTGGGATAAGAACTGGGACGTTGGTACCGTTTTTTTCTTTCCAGTCCCTACCACAATTTTTTTTGTTGGCACCGCAGGTTCTAGACCTAAAAAAATTAAGGCAAAGGGGATGGTAAGCAGAGTTATGGCCAAGCAGTGCCTAAAATTCCCCTACATCATCAAAGGGGAAGACCTGGTTGGTTTGTACAGCTAATTTAAAATACAGAATACAGGTAGTTCTCACTTAACAACTACCATAGGGACTAGAAAATTGGCCGTTAAGCAGGGTAGTTGTTAAGCAAGTCACCGCATGACCAGATCCAATTTTACAACCATTTTTACGACCAACATAAAAAAGGCTGCAAATCGCAATCATGTGACCGTGGGTGGTGGTGTGATGGTTTGCAATGGTTGTAAGTAGGAGTACAGGTTGTAACAGACTTTTTCCAAGGCCGCTGTAACTTTGAACCATCGTTAAATGGTTGTTAAGCGAGGACTACCTGTACTTACCAATAACAGAATAGTCTACAGTCACAAATAAGACATTACTGCTAGCAATCCAACTTGACCAAAGAAATTTAAGAAGAAACAAATTTTTGTCTATATAGTTGAGATCTGTACTATCTGGTTTATCCTTGGGGTTCAGCAATTGTAAACCTGTGTAAAGGTCAGGCTTCTTACTGCTGGATAGCAATGCATGAACCCTTTTCTGAACCATATTTCTTAACTAATGAAAAGATTACATATTCCTCCCTCCCCAAATTTTTTTAAGGGAAAAGAAAGCAAAAGCAGAAAAGGTCTTTGAAAACATAGATCAACCCACCAGCCTAATCTTTCTAGAATTTTTCCATTTTTTTTCCTGTACCCCCACATAAACAGAGATACCACCTTTCTGGTTACCTATCCATTGTAAGGTTTGCCCCGTTCGACAGAGAAACTCCCGTGACACGTGTGGTTCACAAAAGAGGTTTACTCAT